GTCAGCGGTGGCCTTGGCAGTGCTGGGGAATGTGGTTGAACTCCAGGGTCTGGGAGGGCTTTTCCAAGCCGAAGAATTCCCTGCTCCCAAGGGTGGCAGTGGCTCAGGCCAGCCCAGCCCTCGCTGTCCCTCCGCAGGGCGTGAAGCCGGACCCACTGCAGCACTGGGAGGTGGTGCCCATCGAGGTGTTCGACGTGCGCCAGGTCAAGGCCAGCTTCAAGAAGCTGATGAAGGCCTGCGTGCCCGGCTGCCCCTCCAGCGACCCCAGCGTGGCCTACCTGCGCTCCCTGGAGGAGTCGGAGTGGCTGTCCCAGGTCAGTCACCACAGCCAGGGCCTGGCCCTCCCCTCCCCTGGCGCTCTGAGCCAGGATGGGCTCCAGTGCCTGTGCAGAGCAGCGCTGGGACACCCTGGGGACACACGGGGCTGTGAGGGACAAGGGTGGGACAATCCAGAGGTCAGCTCAGTGGTGCTGGACAGAGCTCTGGGCAGGAATGCTGGGCAGGACCTGCGGGGTGCTCTGGAGGGGCTGGGACAGGGCAGTGCCAGGGTGAGCCTGGGGCAGCAGCCCAGGGGGACTGGTCCAATGTGGAGCCATGGGAGGGGTCCCACTCTGGAGGGGTGAGGGTCCCCTGTCCCTGCTGCCGTGTCCAAGCGCGGGGTGGTGGCCTCACTCCGGAGAAGGGGACACTGCCCCCACAGCCAGCCCAGAACTCCCTGCGCCCTCCTCACTCCCGCCCTGCCCTTGGCAGATCCACAAGATCCTGCAGATCTCGGTGCTGGTGGTGGAGCTGCTGGACACGGGCTCGTCCGTGCTGGTCAGCCTGGAGGACGGCTGGGACATCACCACGCAGGTGAGAGCCCGGCGGTGGCCGGGGCGGCCCCGTGGCCGTCCCCCCACAGCTCCTGGAGCCGCCTGTCCCCGCAGGTGGTGTCCCTGGTGCAGCTCCTGTCCGACCCCTACTACCGCACGCTGGAGGGCTTCCGGCTGCTGGTGGAGAAGGAGTGGCTGTCCTTCGGCCACCGCTTCAGCCACCGCGGCGCCCAGACCCTGGCGGGGCAGAGCAGCGGCTTCGCCCCCATCTTCCTCCAGTTCCTGGACTGTGTGCACCAGGTGAGCCCCGGGCCAGGGACCCCCGAGTGCCTGGTGGGACCCCCAAGTGACCGGGGAGACCCCTGAGTGCCCCCCAAGCGTCCCCAAGTCCGTGAGTGTCCAGCGGGAACCCCAGCACCCAGAGGGACCCCTCAGTGCCTACTGGAACTGGAACCCCCAAGTGTCCCTGAGCACCCATGGGAGCCCAGGTGCCCGGTGGGGCTCCCGAGGCTGCAGCAGGAGCCCCGAGCCCCGGGAGCACCCTGGGGCAGGCGGGAGGGCCCAGGCCAGCCCGTGCATCCCAGCCATCCCGGGGCTCTCCCGCAGATCCACCTGCAGTTCCCCATGGAGTTCGAGTTCAGCCAGTACTACCTGAAGTTCCTCAGCTACCACTACATTTCCAACCGCTTCCGGACATTCCTGCTGGACTCGGACTACGAGCGCATCGAGCTGGGTGAGCGCGGCGTGCGGGGCCGGGGGTGGCACCTGCCCCTGCCCTGTCACACCCCGTGTCCCCTCTGTCCCCCAGGGCTCCTGTACGAGGAGAAGGGCGAGCGGAAGGGCCAGCAGGTCTCCAAATCCATCTGGGACTACATCGACCGCCTCAACAAGAAGGCTCCCATCTTCTTCAACTACCTGTACGCACCTGAGGACGGGGAGGTGAGACCTGGGGGCACCTGGAGCACCTGGGAGCACCCAGGATCCTCCCAGAAGGAGCAGCTGGATTTGGGATTTGTCCACTGGGAAGGGACTTCAGAGCCCCCCCAGTGCCACCCCTGCCAGGGCAGGGACACCTCCCACTGTCCCAGGCTGCTCCAGCCCCAGTGTCCAGCCCTTCCTTGGACATTCCAGGGATCCAGGGGCAGCCCCAGCTGCTCTGGCAATCCCAGCCCAGCCAGGAATTCCTCATTCCCAATCTCCCATCCCTGGCTGCCCTCTGGCAGTGGGAGCCATTCCCTGGGTCTTGTCCCTCCATCCTTGTCCCCAGCCCCTCTGCAGCTCTTCTGGAGCCCCTTCAGGGCCTGGAATGTGCTGGAAGCTCTCCCTGGATCCCTCCCTTCTCCAGGCTGGGCACTCCCAGCGCTCCATGTGGACACGCTGTCCCCTTGGTCCGGCCGGGAATGTCCAGCCTGGCCCCGCTGCCCTTCCTGAGCCGCCCCCGCCCCTCGCCCAGGTGCTGAGGCCGTACAGCAACATCTCCAACCTGAAGGTGTGGGATTACTACACGGAGGAGACGCTGTCCGAGGGTCCCCCGTACGACTGGGAGCTGGCGCAGGGGCAGCCGGAGCCGGCCGAGGAGCCGGACCGGCAGGACACGGCGGCCCCGCAGAGCAAGCGCCGCATCATCTGGCCCTGCTACGACAACCGCAGCCGCGTGGAGCCCGACGCCATCTCCAAACTGCTCGAGGTTGGCATCGCCGCCCCGGCACAGGGACGGTGGCACAGGGACAGGGACAGTGACCCCAGGACAGGGATGGCAGCCCCAGCACAGGGACAGCAGCCCCGGGACAGGGACAGCGACCCCAGGACAGGGACGGTGACCCCGGCACAGGGACGGTGGCACAGGGACAGGGACAGCAGCACAGGGACAGGGACGGTGGCACAGGGACAGGGACAGTGACCCCGGAGGTTCTGTTGCCTCTGGGGCTGATGCCAGGATCCCCCCACAGGAGTTGCACAACCTGGAGATGGAGCTGGGGCAGGTCCCGGAGCGCTGGAAGGACACGTGGGACAAGGTGAAAGCGTCCCAGCGCACGGAGGGGCGGCAGGAGGGCAGCAGGGTAGGTGACAGGGCTGTGCCAGGCACTGTCACAGGATGTGACGGGGTGTGACAGTGTGTGATAGGGTGTGGCAAGGGCTGTGATGGGGCTGTGATGGTGTGACAGGGTGTGGCAGGAGCTGTGACAGAGGTGTGACAGAGGTGTGACAAGGTGTGGCAGGCTGGTGCTGCTTCTACTGCTTCTGCTGCTGTTGCTGCTGGTTCTGACGGTGGTGTTAGTACTGGTTGTGCTGCTGCTGGTTGTGCTGGTGGTTGTGCTGCTGGTTCTGGTTCTGCTGCTGGTTCTGCTGGTGGTTGTGCTGCTGGTTCTGGTTCTGCTGCTGGTTCTGCTGGTGGTTGTGCTGCTGGTTCTGGTTCTGCTGCTGCTGCTGGTGCTCAGCCCCAGCCCCCCTCACGCTGTCCCTCCCCGCAGACCCCCAGCTCCTTGCTGATGTCCTCGGGGCTGTCCCACCACCGGCGCTCGCTGGGCGTGTACCTGCAGGAGAGCGGGGTGGGCTCCACGCTCAACCTCAGCCTGGACAGCGACACCAGCAGCACCTCCACCCCGTCCAGCGGGAAGCCGGGCGGGCGCCGCAGCACCTCCACCCTCTACAGCCAGTTCCAGATGTCCGAGAGCGAGAACAGGCAGGCGGGGCTGGGAAGGGCTTGGGAGTGCCGGCAGTGGGAGGGGGATCCCCCCCAGGCGGCACAGGACGTGGATCCCGGTGGGTTTCCATCCCTGACCCCGCTGTTCCGACCCTTCCTGCCCCGCAGATCCTACGAGGGGTCTCTGTACAAGAAAGGCGCCTTCATGAAACCCTGGAAGTCTCGGTGGTTCGTGCTGGATAAAACCAAACATCAGGTACCGGGTGGGCCCCGGGGTCTGGCCCGTCTCTCTGTCCCATCCCACCCCATCCCATGGATCCCATCCCATGCCTGCCCTGCCCTGACCAGCTCTCCCGCAGCTGCGGTACTACGACAGCCGGATGGACACGGAGTGCAAGGGGGTCATCGACCTGGCCGAGGTGGAGTCCATCACCCCGGGGACCCCCACCATGGGGGCGCCCAAGACGGTGGACGAGAAAGCTTTCTTCGACGTGAGTGTCCCCGGGGCTGGCGCCGGGCAGCTCCTGCCCACGGCCGCTCGGGGCCGTGGCCGCGCTGCCCCGGGCGCAGCCCTCAGCCCCGCCTGTCTGTGCCCGCAGCTGAAGACGACGAAACGAGTTTACAATTTCTGCGCCCAGGACGTGCAGCTGGCCCAGCAGTGGATCGACCGCATCCAGAGCTGCCTGTCGGACGCGTGAGCCCGGCTCAGCGGAGCCGCAATTCCAGGCACGGCTGCCGGGCCCGCCGCGGGAGCGGAGGCAGCGCCCGGCCCGAGGCCGAGCCCGGGACTGAGGGAGAGGAGGAGCGGCCCTTCCTCCCTCCCGCCGGGCAGCACGGGCGTGGCCCGGGCGGTGGCACCGGGAGGGATTCCTCGCGTTGAAGCGGGCGGGGGCCCGTGCCGCCCCCAGCCCCGTCTGAGCCGTGTCGTGAGCCCGTGTCCTCCTCCGTGTGCCCCAGCCCCGCTCCCCACCCCGCACTGCTGGGGAGGCAGAGCTGCCCCCTCGTCCTGCCCTTCGTCCTGCTGCCCTGCATGTCTGCCAGCGTCCCCTGGAACCTGCCCTGCCCCTCCCGGCCTGGGAGCGACTCCTGGGCTCCGCTCCCGTCCGCTGGAGCCGGGACCTGCAGCTCGATGGCAGAGGGGACCGAGCCCTGCAGCTCGGGATGGCAGAGGGGACCGAGCCCTCAGGGGATGGCAGAGGGGACAGAGCCCTGCAGCTCGATGGCAGAGGGACAGAGCCCTCAGGGGATGGCAGAGGGGACAGAGCCCTGCAGCTCGATGGCAGAGGGACAGAGCCCTCAGGGGATGGCAGAGGGGACAGAGCCCTGCAGCTCGATGGCAGAGGGGATTGCAGCTCAGGGGATGGCAGGGGGGACTGCAGCTCGGGATGACAAGAGGGGACAGCGCAGGAGCACCGGACCATCCCGTGGAGCCGCTCCCAGCTGTGCACAGGAACAACGGGAATGTTGGGAATGTTGGGATGCTGCAGGCGCTGGCTCCGTGTCCCTGCGGGAGCGTGGCCGTGGCCGCTCTGCTCCCGCTGCAGGAGGCTCCTCGGGCCCGGGGTGCCTGTCCTGGCTGGGACAGTCTGTACCTCCAGGCTGGCTGTCCCGGGGGGCACATTCCCTGCGGAGGTGCCAAATGCTGCAGCCTCCTGGGTGTCCCTCTTATCCCCTCCCAGGGGATGAGGGTCCCCTCTGGCTGAAGCCACACAGGGCTGGGACAGTGGCCCTGCAAGTGCCACCTGGTCTCTGCAGGGTCTCTTTTGCACAGGTCACACCCCCAGCCCTCAGGGCTCTCGTCCCTCCAGCCCCACCCCAGGTGTCCCTTTTGTGCTCTGCCTGTGCCCAGCCGGGTGGGGGGCCCGAGGGAGCAGCTCCTGTCCCTGTCCCAGCCCTGTCCCCGTCCCTGTCCCTGTCCCCACCCCGCTGTCCCTGTCCCTGTCCCTGTCCCCACCCCGCTGCCCCGTCCCTGTCCCCACCCCGCTGTCCCTGTCCCCACCCCGCTGTCCCTGTCCCTGTCCCCACCCCGCTGTCCCTGTCCCCGTCCCCGTCCCTGTCCCCACCCCGCTGTCCCTGTACCCATCCCCGTCCCTGTCCCCACCCCGCTGTCCCCTCGCTGCTGCGGCCCCTCGGTGCCGGGGGTGTCTCTCGGTACCGAATCGGCTCCTGCAGCGCCCCAGCCCCGCCCTGCTGTGAACGGGGTTCGGCTTGGGGGGACCCCGGAGGGCACCGTGGGGTCACTGCGGCCCCACTGCCGCCCGGGACCCCCCAGCACCCCCAGGACTGACCCCCCCAGCTCGGCCAGCCCCTCCACCCGTCTCGTTTTTAAAGTCCAGCGTTTTATTTCAGTGCAGAGCTCTTTGTACAGTCGCCCCGTTCCTCTGTACCATCCTGGCTGTGCAGGTGTAACACGGAGGTTTTGTAACTTACCTGAGCAGTTGTAGATTATTGAAGTTTCTGTACATTGTGTCAAACATGCAGAGTCCTTGTATTGTATTTGTGCCTAGAGGAAAAGGTTATTCTATAAAGAGAACTAACGGAATTTAATAAAAAAATTAATATGAGAGCCGCCCCTTTTGCCTCGCCGAGCACCGGGAGCAGGCAGAGCCTCGGGCCAGGCTCGGCTGCTGGGCCACAGGGAGAGTTCCCGGGGGATCCTGGCACAGGAGCCTCCGCACCGCGCCGGATCCGCCCTGGAGAGGGAACGGCCTCCGGGGGAACCAGCAGGAATTGCCCCATGGAAAAGGGTCAGGCCTTGGCTGGGGCTGCCCAGGGGGTTTGGAGCTCCCATTCCCTGGAGGTGTCCAGGAATTCCTGGAGGTGGCACTCAGGGCTCCGGGCTGGGGACAGGGAGGGGATCGGGAACAGCTTGGACTTGGAGGAATTTTTAAGACCCTGGAGGGTTTTTCCAAGCTCAGGGATTCCATGATTCCATCAGGAGTCCAGCCCCATTCCCGGCCCTGACCATCCCAGAGCCCCCTCAGGACCCTCGGCGTCCTGCGGGATGGAGGAACCCAGCACTGGCACATGAATTTTGAGCTTTTATTGATAGTTGGAATTTACAGCCTAAAACTGACAACATAGAGAGATGCAGACTTTTTTTCCTTTTTCTTACTTTTTTTTTTTTTT